CCCCTTCCTCTGGCGGCAGCGATTTTACACGCGGAGACGACTGCTGAATAGGCTGAACAGCATGAGGAGGAGGAGGAGTGCGTACCCATTGAGAAGCGCCGGGAGGAACACCCCCATTGACGGTGATTCACCCTTCACAGCTACTATGAGCCCTCGCAGTTGAAAGCTTCATTTAACAAGCGCTTTTGTACTACATACTGCTTTTAAATTCAGGCAGTCACATTAAATGAAGCACTTCAATCACCGTAAATATTACATCCACAGGTTATTTACAACCAAGGCTGTAATTTAAAACAGTTGAAAGCATACCTTTAAAGAAGTATTTCATCTGAGACTTAGAGAAACTATTTTTTTATTATTTCTATATGATTCAAATCATGTATTAAGATTCTCTTACTTTGCCTAGAAAGCATGCCAAGTTAAGAAGCCTACAGCTCTTCAAGTCAACTCATCTGGCCCCCTGCTCTGCACTGATTAGCTGTTAATCCTCTTTAAGCTTTCTGTGATCTTTGCAGTATTACAACAGTCGAGGAGAAACTTTGCAACCACAGATTTCTGCAGCCGGTCATTTCAGAGATCCTTCCTGCAAGAAATGTGGGTCTGATGTTTTGAAATAGACTGGAAAATAGTTCAGCTCTTTTTAAAGACCTATTTCTCATATTGTCTCAGGGAAAAAAAAAAGGCAGAAATACTCAATAGTTCTGCCTAATTTAAGCTGATATTATTTCCATTCCAAATTTTAACCTTCATGGATTACCTTCATCGTGAGGCAGATTTAAAGATAACTTCTATAAGTAAGCAGCTACGCTAAAATTACAGCTGTTGTGGAGATTTACAAAAGTAATCCCTATATTTTGTAAGTATGATCTTCATTCCACCATGAACTTAAAGAGCTGAGATCTTAAAACATCTCATACTGTCATACATGCCTAATATGTAAGTTTTGGATAATCAAATATGATACTCAAGTGCAGGCATCAGGAGCTGTTAAACTAGAGCAGTGTGTTTTTCCTCGTATTTTCATCTCATTTTAACCTTTAGAGGGCTAGTAATGAGCAAATTGTTTTGGAAGCTTTTCCTTCAAAAAGGCTACTAACAGTATTTCTTAATCAGATCCTTTTCACAAAGCAGGTAAGAACAGGTAAGCTATTATCTTAGAATCTTGACACATCTATCTTTGAAACTGGTATAGCTCCCTTTTAAAAACAATACTGTGAACAGACATAATCATACATGTTTTTCTGCAAGCTGGTATTTGCCATTCTATAGCTTTTCATCTCATATCTTCCATGTGATTACAGTGCTAAAGCAAACAAAGTTAAATTCTGCTAGATTTTTTCCCCCCTCCTGTTGTTGCTGTGCGCATATTAATAGTATTTGGGTCAACCTTAAAGTATGTTAGCAAGAGCATCTTTCTGTCCTTATAAGACCCTAGCTCAGATATCAGACTTCTTTTGCTAGATAACTTTCAGAGTAAGTGGTAAAATATAAAATAAAACTGTGAGGCCTGCTAATAGTGCTTCCTGGTATTTTAACTTCTCCAGCCATTAGAAGATAGTCAGACAGGAAGAGTTTTAACTGTGGAGGGTTTATTTATGGATTAATACAATATCCAGTCTCACCATGACAATAAGGCACAACTGTGGGTTACAACTATATAGACAAAAAAGAAGGGAATACCACCTTTTAATAAGCAGATCACAATGCCTAAAAAAATTGTATATTTCTAAAGTTAACATTGCTACTTTCCTATTTTACATGACATGGTCATAAAACCAGAATATTTCATTCTCATACAGAGTACAAGTTTTTAATTTACATTTTGTTCTGGACTTGTTATGCTGCAGTTTGCAAAACAACGAAGTGCAATATTTCACTTTACAATTCCTTAATTTAAAAGCAAACAAATCTCAAGACACTTGCATGTTATTCCTTAACGCAGGTAAGGATTAAAGGAACTGAGAAGAAAGGAAATGCATATTTGAGGGTACAGTTTGAGACTGATAGGTGTTTATAGAAATGTTAACATGTGACACAGAAGTGGTTATAACACTGATTCTTCAGTAAAGAATCTCCTTTTTTTTTTTCCCTCCCTTGGTTTGGACCTCCCAAGAAAACAGGATGCTCCAGCGGAACTGGGTGAGATCATTTGTCAGTCTAACTACAGAAAATTTTGTCACTGTTGAACCTGAAGGTTCACAGCCAATTATACTCAATACTTTTGCTGTCTTGAATTTATCAGCAAGATTACATTAATTGTATTTAACTTAAAAAGGTACTTGTATACAAACATTCTGAAATGCCAGTATATACTTCCCCAAAAGGTATTTTTCCCTCCAAGCTTTCATAAATATAGCTATTGCCCTCAACACACCACTAACATACAAGGACTTCCACACTAAATAATACAAATTTATATCCAGATTACTATGCTTAAAAATATATATATTAGTACAATTTTTCATGACACTATTACTATGGGCAGTGACAGAACTACAAATCCAGATTTTGACATGCCTAGTGTTTTTGCATTAAGTATGCTGGTAAACAAGTTTACACCTTCAGAGGTGAAACCACCCTGATGGGAAGAGGGTCCTGGAGTAAAGCAACCTGGAATGGGCACTTTGTGATCCACTGGATGTCAAGTCTGCAAGCCACTCGAAGGAAACGAATGTCTGCATCTGCTACTAAACATTTAATGCAAGATTCATCTTTCCTTTCAGGACACCACAGATTCCTATTCTTCCTGTGGATTGATCCCACAAGGAATAAAATCTATTCACAGTCCTTTAAATTATTCTGGCCTATCATCACGTATTCTCCTGAATCCTACTCTTACAATAAAGCCAAGGAAATTGAGAAATCCTCAAATAAAAGGCAGATTTAGAAGGAGAAAAGAAAGATCTGCATGTAAAGAACAAACTGGGGAAGGAAAAAAAAAGAGAAAAAAAAAAAAAAAGGCAGCTGCACCTAGTATTTGAGCAGATGCTTGCCTCCAGAAAGCATTTGGGAGAGTGCTGTCCTTTTTCCATTCAGATTCAGAGCTCAGAAGAATCAGACTGTAGATTAAATAACAATACATAGGAAGAGATTTTTTCGTTCATACAATAATACACAAGGACAGACGGGAGAAAGCATAAAAATTGAAAATGGAAGGAAAAAAATATATATATTTAAAACGTTCCTTTCCAAGTTGCACTGCAGCTATTTCCCTTTGTTCCTGATGCATGGAGAATATTCACATCAGTAGAACAAACCAGGGAGGGTTTGGAGATGTATTTCACATGCACCAGTAGCAATGGTCTGGGGAAAGGTGGTAGGGAGAAAATTAAGTTCTATTCCCTATACATACAAGGGTAGAAAGGAACAGGTTCTCCATCCATCAGTGAAGAAATCGAATACTCATTTTCTGTTCTACATCCACCTTCTCCAAAACCTGCAATAAAATCCGGAAACAGGTATTTTAGATAGTGTATGTGAAGTATTTCTGTCACAATAGATTTCCTAGACTGGTAAAAAACAAACAAAGGAGATGGCCAGAAACATGGATGGCTTCCCTTTGGCAGGGCATTCTTTCATTTAGACACTTCTATTTTTTGCTGTAGAAAAATCCGGAAACAGGTATTTTAGATAGTGTATGTGAAGTATTTCTGTCACAATAGATTTCCTAGACTGGTAAAAAACAAACAAAGGAGATGGCCAGAAACATGGATGGCTTCCCTTTGGCAGGGCATTCTTTCATTTAGACACTTCTATTTTTTGCTGTAGATTACGGTTTCCTTTGCAAGGAAAAAAATCTTAGCCATTATAGCTGGAAAAAAAGCTGTCAACCAAAGTGTAAACAACACAGTTTCAGCCTGCCAACAGCCCAGATACATTTAACTACTCCCAGGAAGTTGTTCCACCCAAGCATAAATATGCTTGGGCAAATTAGTATAAGAACATACATCCAGGAGACAGAAGAGAGAATGGAGGGGAAGAAGGGGCATAAACAGTGAGTGAAGAGCTAAGATCAAGACCACAGCATCACTAACTTAGATTATTTTTAAACATAGGTGGCAGCCTCATTCACTGAATTGCTCTTAATGCTGAGGTAAGACGGTAACAAACTGCCTCAAGCAGCTTTAGGTGCTCAACTTCGGTACTGCAAGCTCAGAATACTAGGTTTCAAGAGACCTCTGGAGATCTTTTCATCCAACTTTCCACAGTCATTCAAAGCAAGGTCTTATCCAGCTGAGTTCTAAACATCTCAAGGGAGGAAGGTTCTACAACATCTTCAGCAACCCCTTCCTGTGTTGGGCCATCCTCATGGTCACACATTGAAGAGATGAAGCTGTCCTGCTATAGGTCAACTTTATCCACTGACTATATAATAACTGTTTTCTGCTATTTCTCTAGTTCTGACAGCTAATAAAAGATGCAATTCAAAGGATCAGAGCTAGAAATTTGCATGCTGGTTTTAGCTGCATCACTAGTGGATAAAATCTTCAAGCAAAAACCTATTTGCAGAATTACAATATGGCAGTTACTGTGTCACTATGCTAGTCAGGTTACCCATGTAGAAAGAAGTGGCTGCAAAAGAAAAGTAATAGCATTTACTGTAATACAAATCTCACCTTGTTCTGAATAATCTGTCCCATTCCTGAACAATTTCACTTCTTGTTATTAAAAATGTAGTTTACCAACCTTTACGAACTCTGCAAAGGAGATGGCACTGTCCCCATCTTGATCAGCTTCCTGGATGGTTCTGTCAGCAATACTGCCCAGCTGCTCATCAGAAATGTTTACACCAACCATCATCCGTAACACCTAAAACACACAGAAGTCCCCAGATGTTTAAGAAATATATACATAGATATATATAGATACAGTAATAGAAGTGTTCTTAATGTTGTTCCTCATGGATTTTGTTCCAGTAATAATTCTATATAAAAACAACTCAATAGAATTTTCCTGGAAGTCATTTCTATTTGTCCTTGTACATCAGAACAACTTCCTTTGGTAGCTATCTTTGAGGGGGAAAAAATCTTTTGCTTCTTCAGTAGGCAGTGGAACAGATGGAAGAATTTAGAAAGCATCTGGAATACAAATGAATCATATGTTTTGTTCTGAAGCTTCTGTGTCTCTCAGAGCTTACTGATGTTTGATTTGGGTATCTACTGTTTAAAATTCTGCCTACTGGAATCTGGTAAGTATATGACCAAATGATAGCTGTCATCACTATGCATATTTAGGTTTTTTTTTTTTTTTGGGTAGGAGTTAGAGGGCCGTTTCAGTTGAAAGTAAATCCTTGTCTTACATCAGGAACCACAAACTACTATGTCTATTTCCTAGGATTAGTAGTTTGTAATTACTCCTAGCTTAAGCCTAGTTTCATATACATGAAGCACCAATGAACTCTGCTGCAGTTTCAAGAAGTTTGAATCTACTGAGAGGACACAGAGATAACCAGTCAAATGACCTCATATACTGTCCCTCTGAAGTCTTGTTAAGAGCGGCTTTAAAAATTATAGAACATAGTTCTTAAGGGACTTGATGTATTTGCTGGATATTTATGCATCATTTGGAAAAGTTCTGTTTGGCCTAATGCTCTAGTTTAAGTCTGAATCTATCACCCTCAGTCTGATAAAACAGAGCTATGAAAGGTTAAGGTCTAAGGGAAAGGTTTAGCATATCTAAAGCTTTAAATTGGGAATAAGCAACTAGGCACCAATTTCTTTCAGGAATTCTTTTCAAAAGATGGCTGGAACTTTCCTCTTCCTCCTACATAGATGTGAAGTGACAAAGAAGGTCATAGAATCATGATAGAGTTGTTCAAAGCAGGCCCATGCTATTTACCTGAAGCAGCTCATCCCTGGAAATCTTGTCATCTTTGTCTAGATCATATAATCTAAAAGCAACTACAGGAAAGAAAAGAACAAGTAGCTGAATCTGAATGCCACTATTTTTCTTAATGATCACATATTTATATATTAAAAAATAACAGCAGCTATTCATAAACCATTTTAAAAGAAATACCTTAGAATTGCCTCACCATAAAATTCCTGTTCAGTTCCATAAAGTTTACCATAAATTACTACAAGATTACTATATACAGAAATAACACTTTTGTCAAGATGTAAAAATCTTCAGTACTCACTGTGAGTATTTAACAGAAGCACTCTGCTTGCAGAAGAATTTCTTCAAAGCCCTGAGCTATAAAAGTGTATTTAGCACTAGTATATATTCAACTTGAACTTTAAATCCAGATATTTTTACATTTTTGTTTATTCTTGATTCTGTTCTAGGTGAGATGTAAGACAGTTTCAGTGCTCAGAAGACTCTTGCCAACTCAGCCTAGTGTGCAAGAGTATTCTGCTTATACACTGTAGGCAGACTGCAGAATTGTCGAAGAAAGTACTCAGCTGAAGGTGAGCAAACACACAGTACTGTATTACATGGAAGACTGGGGAAAAGCCCATTCACATCGGACACTTGACTTGTAATATATCTTAGGTTCCAAATATTTTTGAAAACACTTGTGTCGGGAGACCTTCCAACTTAACAGTTTCAAACAATTCCACAGATTTCCAATACTAGCATGAGATAATTCATATCTTTTGCATTGTGGACCTTCTAAACAGGTCAGCTTGTGAGTTTATAAAAATAACAAACAAACAAACACCACAACCCACAATTACATTTCCACAGGCAACGACTGCCCAGAGAACCTTCACTTCCATGCTTTTTCATTCCCTTCCAGAAAGGAAACAAAAAAGAAAAAAAAAAAATCTGCAAACCAAACCAACCAAACAAAAAAAAAAAAAAAAAAAAAAAAAAAAGAAAAAAAAAAAAAAGAAATGTTTACATAGGAAGGTTCACTGTTCTTACAGTGGAGCTTGTTACTTCGGCTGGTCAGTGGTTCCGGTCCATTCTGGTCTTTGCTCTTTTCATTGTCTTCTATGGGTCGGAAGTGGGCCAGAGTCCTCATGAATCCACGGAAATTCACTTGGTCCTCTCTGCGTAAGTATTTCAACAGACCTATTAGTTGCAGCCTGGCTTATATGCATAAGCTTATATGCTTATATGCATTCTTTACTTCAGTAATGAACAACCAATACCTAGTCTCAATGCTTTGCAACCTTTTCCACGCCCACAGTTTTGTTGGCCATGCTCAAAATGAGCTGTGGCTGCAACTGTAACCTGGGATCAGACTGCGATGAGGGCT